ATCAAAAGCCCCCTTAATGTCCAAGAATACTGAAGCCAATTGCTCCTTGTGTGCAAAGGCCAGTTGAATATCTGTGGAAAGCAGCGCTAGACAATCGTTTGTTCCTTTGCTCTTGCGGAACCCAAATTGTGTATTTGATAGCAAGTTATTTGATTCGACCCAGTGATCGAGTCTCCGAAGGATCATTTTCTCCAACAATTTCCTAATGCACGAAAGCATAGCAATCGGACGGTATGAGTTATGGTCAGACGCTGATTTGCCAGGTTTTTTAATGGCTATTACTTTGACCTGTCTCCATTCAGGCGGTACAATGTTGTTTTCTAGCAAGGAATTGAATAAATCTAGCAAGCGTCTTTTAGCGATATCTGGGAGATTTTTCAGAAGATTGAATTTAATCATATCGCTTCCCGGTGAGGAGTTGTTCGATGAAAGAAGAGCCATAGAGAAATCCAGCATTGAGAATGGTCTATCCAGAGAGCCGCCGCTAGGAGACGCTTCTCGAAGAATATTTTGTGCTGGAACTGAGTCCGGACAGACCTTTTTAGCGAAATCGAATACCCATCGGTTGGAGTATTCTTCACTCTCATTGAAAGATGAGCGGTTACGCATGTTGCGAGCCACCCTCCACAAGGTGTTCATTGAGGTTTCTCGTGAGAGTCCCTCGACGAAATTGCGCCAATAACCGCGTTTTTTTGCTTTGATTAATTGTTTCAGCTTTGTCTCAAGCTTTGAATATTCCTCGAAGTAAGTGGAGGTTTTGTGTCTACGAAAAGCTTTGAAAGCATCAGATTTTTCTACATACAATTTTGTGCATTCTTCGTCCCAACCAGGTGTGGCTGGTCTCCTTTTAAAGGGTGCACTTGGAACTTTTCTTTTTTGTGCTTCCAGTGAGCTTTTGTAAATCAAATCGGCTAGGAATCGATATTCTTCCAATGGTGGAAGCGCATCTATTGATTCGACACCGATTGTCACCGCCGTTGCATATTTCTGCCAGTCGATGTTCCTTGTAAGATCAAATGGAACCCGAGATGGTTCTGCAGAGTGAGGGCCACACTTTATTGAAATGATGATTGGCAAATGATCGCTACCATGGGGATCATTGATAACCTTCCACTGACAATCCAATGATAGCGATCTTGAACACAAAGATAGGTCGAGTCGGCTTTCTCGAGCCGGAGGTTTTGCTATACGTGTCGCTTCACCAGTGTTCAAAATAGTCAAATTGAAATCGTCACATAAATCGTAAAAAATAGCCGCTCTATTGTCGTCATATAGATCGCCCCACCCAGTACCATGGGAGTTCATATCACCCAGAATTAATACTGGGGATGGAAGAATCGAAACTAGATTCCAGAGTTGACTACGGCTAATGGAGGTTCTTGGTGGAACGTATACTGAAGCTATGCAAAGATCTTTGTTCTTCACATTTATTTGGCAAGCAACGATTTCGACGCCGGATAGAGCAGGAAGGGAAATTTTGTAGAAAGGGTAGCACTTTTTGATCCCTAAAAGTACTCCTCCATAAGAATCGTCTCTATCCAGGCGTATAATGTTAAAATCGTGGAAGTTGAGTTCTTTATCGGAAGAAAGCCATGTTTCACAGAGAGCAAATATATCACAATCAGAATTGTGAAGTAAAAATTTGAACGAGTCTAGTTTAGGCACTAGACTACGGCAGTTCCACTGTAGCACAGTGATCATATTTTCAACCTCGTTCGACGAATTATCCATCGAAAGATATGATTGATGCAAGGAGGGGCCATGAAACAGTCAATTGCTTAAGATATGATTCTAACGTTGGAAGCAAGGCAGAAACTAAGCTTCTTAGAGGGTCTTGTATGTTGAACATGTTTAATATGAATTCCACAATGTCCGAAAAAGCTAGCAAACCTCGTTCGGACTTGGATTTCTTTTGAGAAGTTTGAGGAGCAGCTTTTTTATTTTTTTTATCTTTGTTGGGCAATGGCGGAAAATTCTTGCTGCATCCAGGGATTGGATCAACAGGAGCCTTCGGTTTTGTTTTTTCATCCCCATTACCCTGGGAATTTGGCAATCGTCTGGAGGTGACTTTAGTTTTCTTACGGCGCACTTTCGGGGAGGGGCATTTTCTTTTTGAGGAACCGTCTATTTTTGAAGGTGCGTGTACCACCGTAGAATCACCTTCATCGGATGAGTCAGAGTCCGATTCTTCAACTGACAAAACCGAAAATTGGTTTGCATCTTGGACGGCTGATGCAGCCTTCAACATTTGAGCATATGTCTGCTTGGAGCGTCCAGAGATTGAACGCTGCACTTTATCGGAGTGCTGTTTGTACATCGGGCACTCCTGCAAGGGGTGAGGATTCTCACCACAGTAAGCGCATTTTACTGATTCTTTGTGGCAAGAATCCTCTTTGTGGTTTTCACCACATTTGCCACAACGAGTTTTGTTGCCGCAATGGCTGGCCGAGTGTCCCAGCCTTTTGCAGTTGGTACAATTATATACCCTCTGTACAAACAACCGCACCGGAAAAAAAGCACCATCAATTTTAACAAAGTTTGGGAGAACTGAACCTGCGAAAGTCACCCGGAACGAGTCTGAATGTTTATAAACTTTTTTACCGTCTAGCAAAGATGCTGAATGCAGTTGCCTTACATCCAGTATCTTCACTAGCGCGGTAGCGAATGTCGAGTTTTTAAAAGTTCCCGAGGCATGTTTCAAGTCCTCGACAGTCAGACTCGCGTCGGAGACCACGCCTTCTATCTCCACATCTCGAGAAGGGATGTAGATGTTGTACTCAACACTAAACAACTCGTGATCAGCAATTTTATTTGCCACATCATAAGTCGGTGCTTCTACACGCAGTTTGTTGAATCTTTCTTTGTGTACCAAGATTCCCGGATACTTACGCAGCAAATCTCTCGTTATGTCGAGAGTTTTCAAAGGTTTATTTTTGGGCCGAAAAAAGACAACCCATGGTCCTTTCGAAGACGGTTCATAGTATCTGGTTCGCGTAACGTAGGCATCGGAAGATGCCATAAGTGTTGCGCAAAAGCGGTGCGCAACCACTTAAGAAGGAAAAAAAATAATAAAACCTTCACTAATTAATTAATTTTAATTACTAGTAATTAAATTTTTTGCCCGACGTACGAACAAATCAAAAAGAAAAAAAAAAAAAAATCGAAACAAAAAAAAAAAACTTATATCTACTTGCAAAAAGTTGTCTCACTATGACCCATACTCCCCTACCAGGGGTGAGAGACAGAGTCACGCGCCACGAGGCAAAATTAAACTACAATAGGGAGGCAATGGACTTGCAAAATGTATTGTCTAATACTTATGCCGGTTGTAAACAACCTATCAGCCGTTGCAGCTAGATGGTCCGTTTGCTGCTGCTGGTGGTGATGATTGGTGTTGGTGGGTCGGCACGATGATTAAAAAATGGCTTGACGACCGGATGGATTACCGGGGTGGATTAAAGCTGGATGGCAACTCCAAGGGGCTCGGCCCATGGAATTCCACTTCCTCTGTTGCACACTGGTCACTTGGGGCACCCAATGGGGGGGGTGAAAAAACCGCTCGGGCGGAAAAAACACCGAAAAAAATTAGATGCCGCGCGACTGAGACCGGGACGTTGTTAACCGACTGAGTGTTCAACTAGGAATGAAGGTTTGATTGCTAAATTGAAAAAGTTTAATTTTCCACTTTATATTATGAAATTAGTTCAAAATTATTTAACTGACAGAACTCTGCAGGTAAATTATCAAAATTCCAAATCTAATCGACTACCTGTTAGAGCAGGAGTTCCTCAGGGTAGCATTCTTGGGCCTATATTGTATAACATTTTCACTTCGGACCTCCCTGATTTGCCTCAGGGTTGCCACAAATCTTTGTTCGCTGATGACACAGGCATTTCCGCTAAAGGAAGAAGTCTTCGTGTTATTTGCAGAAGACTGCAGAAAAGTTTAGATATTTTCTCTTCTAATTTACAAAAATGGAAGATTTCTCCCAACGCTTCCAAACCTCAACTTATAATATTTCCACATAAGCCTAGAGCTTCGTTTTTGAAACCTAGTAGTAGTCACATAGTCACTATGAACGGAGTTCCTATTTCCTGGTCAAACCAAGTGAAATATCTTGGATTAATACTTGACCATAAATTAACTTTTAAAGATCACATTGAGGGCATTTAAGCCAAATGTAATAAATATATAAAATGTTTGTATCCTCTTATAAACAGGAAATCCAAACTTTGCCTGACGAATAAACTTCTAATATTTAAACAAGTTTTTAGACCGGCCATGCTTTACGCTGTGCCAATATGGTCTAGTTGCTGCACTACCAGGAAAAAAGCACTTCAAAGGATTCAGAACAAAATTCTGAAAATGATTTTGAAGTTACCTCCCTGGTACAGTACTACCGAGGTACATAGAATTTCGAATGTTGAGACTTTAGAACAAATGTCCAACAAAATAATTAATAATTTCAGGCAAAAATCGTTGCAATCCTCAATTGCAACGATTAATTCCCTTTATACTTAATAAGATTTAGTTTTAGTTTTTAGTTTTAAGATATCAATTGTTATACTGACATGCAGGTTTAAAAAACCTGTTTAAAATACTGAATTGCCAAGACAAGAATAATGTAAAAACACTTAGATATATATCATAACAATTAAGGCTGGTACGTTACTGCAGTAACTGGAGCACCTAGGTTAAAATGAAATGTAATTTATTTTGAATTTGGAACAAATAAAGACTTAAAAAAAAAGAGGTTTTTAACCGGTGGCGAATTATACCGATCACGGTAGATCAGGCCTTGCAATACCTAACATCTAACGTAAGGAATGCGAAATGATAAGAGTGAGGGAGAATGATACTGTTTCGAATAGTGTGGAACATGTTCGGGATGCCAGTTTACCTGCTTTGGGCTAATCCGAAACAGTCAGTTTGAGCTGAAAATCTAAATCGCCGGACGAGGAATGTTCACAATCTTCAACATGCTGTAAAAGACAAAGGACTTTGAATAATATGTTTATTATTTCTCCTCGGTACTCACATTTTCCACATAGGTTCATTCAAATCTACCTATTCTTTTACGCTTCAACATAAGCAAAATAACTCTTTTCAATTTGTTTTTCTTTTACTTGAAATGATTCTTGTTTTATTTTCCTAGTTCCTATAATACAACGTCCTATTAGTTAGTGACCTTCGCTGTTGGTTTTTTGTTTGTTTTATATTACTTTCCAGTTTGCTTCAGTTTTTAATTAAATATATTATTCCTGTTTTCCTGCTGTATTTATTATATAAATACAATTTTCCAACTATTATTTGTTCTGTACGCTGCCTTTAGGTTTTGCACGAGAGTAAAACAATTTCAACTTGCAAGAACAAAGTACTTCTACGCTCTGCCACACGCTTCTGGGGCGTGTATGTACGTTCTCTAACGGATTGTTATTAATGCTTTGTGTGTTTACAGAAAGTATACAGTCAGGCTCCAATGTCACTGCTTTTCCAGCTGCTTCCGCTTGACTGTATCAAAACTATGCTTATTATTTTCTCTTTCTCTCTCTTCTCGCGGAAGTAGGAAAATTTTTACTGATTTTTTTTTATGGAAAAATCAACACCTAAACCTAAAAATTATCACTGGAAGCCAAATGTGGGACCAAAACGAACTACTTCCGAGTTCGGATCGCTGCAGTCGAACGGAAGGGCCGGAGCAGATCGACATTGTACACCTGAAATGATCAAACTCTTTCGCTTGACGTTTGACGACGAAAAATTGATTCATCGGTTCGTATCGTTAAACAACAATTCAATAACAATAAATTATTAGATTTTTCATCTCTTCGTTTCTGCCTACGAAACGACGACCTTCTTGCCTTCCTGCACGAGGTGGGGAAGGGAGGGGATTTTGTGTATTTCTTTTTTACACATTCTCTCATTCCTAGTTTCACGTACCTTATTACACACCTTATAAACTGTTTCTCGCTTCATTTTATGTTCTTCCTTAGCTCAATCACAGATAGTTCAAACACAATCATTTAGTTCTCGCCGGTATTTTTAGCGCCCATCCTTCCTTTCATTCTGTTTCGTTTCGTTTTTGTTTTGTTTTGTTTGCCATTTCACTTATGTTACGATTGGGGGGGAAACAATAGATCTGCACGGCTTTGCTGAGTGTTTTTCATTCTTCTTTTCGTTTGGACCAATTGGTTACTACAGTTTTACACCTCACTTTCTTGGTACATTACCCTATAACATCAAAGTGTGTTAGAAAAAGTTTAACCCATGCAGCAAAATATTAATTGGTTCAGAGTCGATCATTTTGTTTTTCGTTCATCTAGGAGGTTGTGTGTTTTGGTGAAAATGAGTTTTTGATTAGGGAAGCTTCGGTTTAGCATTTTTGTTGTTGTTGTTGTTGTTGAGTGTTCACATTTTTTGGTAACCATCATAATCTTACTTTTGCGAAACTGGAAGGCCTTTCTTTCTTTTGCTTTCTCCTAGATGACGATTGAACAATACCGATTTATTGGTTGTTTGAGTATTGAACGTAATTTGGTAATTAGTTTTTAATTGAAAAACAAAAGTATTCCGGAAGATGAGTTCAATATTGTCTCAGTGGGGGTTATTTTCATTTTATGCTGTTCAACTGCTTATAGTTGGTAAGGAGGCTTCTACGGAGTACCCATTTGGCGTAATACCATTTCATATATGATTTGCTTGACACTTGGCGTTCTGATTCTGCCATCAACAGGAATACTACGTCGCAAATATTTTTATGAAGAAATGCACGATTTTATCACAAGCTCATTTGAACCATGGATTAACATAAGTTTACTTAATCCGTTACCAAGATTTTTGCAACTCAATCCACACAAAGTATCAAAGGATTCTCTGGAATCGACAATAACGTGTTTAATCGCTTTGGTTTTCCTGATTACTCGTAATTCAGAGATGTCATTTTCTGAAAGAAAAGTTGTCACTGCCAGGTTATGGTATTTTGAAAGTTCACAAAAAAGGTCCAGGTATTTTAAATGAGCCCGAAGACTCTCATAGAACGGTATCTATCCGACATTTAGTGATCTTATTGATAAATCGTATAAAGTGCCTCTGAATGAGTACTTTTCATGAGATCCTTAAATAGAGCTTATAAAAAGCTAAGCAAGTAAAACTTAAAATATTTCAAAACTTCTGAACACTGTAATGGTCTTCATTCCAGGGTGTAAAAGGATTGAACAATTTCATCCATCCTCGAATGTCCTTTATTCGTAATGGTGTTTGACAACCTGAAAGAGAGCGTAATACCTAGCTCCGGTTCTCACAAGTTCCTACCTCACGCTTTCTTTAGATCATTTGATTACAATAGACTACCGGCTGAAACATGGACATAGCCAGGGCGATGTTGTCAATCCGACAATAGCAAAGTGACGAGGTTGCGATACGAACACTGGTGCGGTAACCATAGCACGGTGATAGAGGAAATGCTTCGCCAAACCCGAGCGTCTGCTCACCATGGAGGTGGCATCCAGCGGCTGTATAAGAAATGCTTATCCCCGGAAGCTACACCTAAGATGGTAGCCCCTAAGCAAAAGCAAGCAGCTGCTCAATATGAAAGTCTTTCACATTGGTCCTTTGCAGCACTGCCTCTGAAGGTGCCCAGGATACTTAAGTAACAACATTTCTAGCTGATTTAGATTGATTTAGACAAGCTACAGTATGTAATCGATTGTTGGATTTTCACGGCACAAGTAGCAAACATGTCTATACATAAGCTTTTAATAGAAAATTTCACAACACTGTCACGTGACAAAGAATTTGATGAGATTTTAAAAAAATCTCTAACATCGTATTCTCATCCGATGATTGTGAATGAAGAACCTCTGTAAAAATCGCGTGAAATCTTACATTGAAAATGACATTTGCCAACTCTGCGTGAGTTATTATCTGGTTCCTTGGAACCTTCCTATGTGCGCTCATTGTTTGAAAAGAGAAAAATTGAGAATCAAGTAAAATCATATCGAAAAATCGTACATCAAGTGGGTGGAATATCCTCCGCGTTGTCGCCTAAGTAGTCTTATGTACAAATTTTGTTTGCCTATTGAAAAAAAAAACAGCCGCAGCAAAATGAGTCAAACAATTGCCTTCAGTTTCCGACTCGATGAGAATGGAAGTAATTTTTAATACTTTTCACGCCGACAATAGCGGTTTTGTTTCTTCCCTTTTTTTATTTGATAAAATTGAAATTAGTTTCCATATACTTCCATTTGCATCCTCTTTCACTACTACCCTCCGGGTAGGGAAGCCGAGCAGGTTTTTTTTTTACATAATTGTGTTAACTAACAGAGTTTTAAATCAGTTTCTCCGCCTGTCTAAATATCTTAGCACATATATCGGACTATTTACAATTGTTTCCACTAGTGTATTTCTTATCGAAACTGAAAAGTAGATCTGGCTTTTTTTAATTTAAAAGTTCTAACTACAGTACCTTGCTTGCTTGTTATTTTGAGTGTTGTTTTATTTTTCATTCTAGATTGAAGGGGATAAAAACTAGGCTTAGTAGGTGAAATCAGTGGTTATAATCTTTTAGCTAGCTCAATTCTCTTAGTACGAAGCGAGTAAGTATAAAGGATTCAGACCAAAATTAGGAGAGTATACATCATCATCTGCGACTTGTGGCGACTGTTATCGTTTGCGCTTGTACCTAACTAAGTGTATTGTGTGTATCAATTAATTAAATATGGCGACTTGTTTTTTTTTCTGGATGCGATACTACGATAGCTTGTAACTCTAGTAAGGAGGGGGTTGATCGTTAAATTAGGCTCTAAAAATATATATAACTTGGCTTTGCATCAAGCAGGGATAAATGAGATTTGATTGGGTTTTTTTTTTTGCTTTCTTGGTAAAATTTGTACACTTTCACGATTTGTTTGACTCTCTACACGAAATGAAAGAAAACAAAACAATTTCAAGGCGCAAGTAGCTTTAGTATACTTGTTTTCACGAATGTTTTGAGTAGAACAAAGAGTATCAACTTATTGCTTGAGCTTTCTTTTCCTTTCTTCTGCGATCGTAAATTTTTGTTTGTTTGAAATTTGATTTTGGAACGCTGTTCCAAAAATTGCACCCGCTTATGCTGACAACGAGGGGTGTGACTGTCGACCACGCACGTGGCCAAACACATGTACAATTGATTCCCATCATTGCTATACGAATAGATTTGTTATTTCCTAGTAAACTACTTATAATTTTACAATCCTACGATTTGACTTTGACGCGTTACCGAATACAAACACGCACACACGCACGCACGCGGGTGTAGGGCCATGTGCGTGAGTTTCTTTCCGCGATGTTCCTGAATGAAGTAGTTAATGAGACGAAAGAAGCCAACGAGTACGAAAAAGCATGCCCTCCAGGGCGAGGAGCGGCTCATTATTACCTTGGTTCGGGTGCGCTATTAGTGCCTGCTGGTGCCAACCAGAACCGCCAGCAGGAACGCTGTGCACGTCAGTACGCTCGAAATGGAGATTCGGTTAGAGTCATTCGTCTTGCCGGCCACTGGCGTGAAGTTACTGGACGGCACGTTGATGATATCGACACGGCGTGGACCTGTTAAAGAGTAGAGGAGAAGATTTGAGATTTTTCCAACCCAATGTCCACAACTGAAGGTTTTCTACACTTACCCTCTCCTGATCCTGAACCATTCTCGCCGTACTCTTCATCTTCCGGAGATTCGTAGTCCCGATAGGAATCACCAGAACCTTCCGCCATGTCAGATAGCATTTTGTCCGGATCACTCTTGAAGGCGTTGCTTGATACCTAGAGAGGAATTTACAAACAAAATAAATACTTGTCCCTCTAATCAACCAAAGTCAGGGTCGTACCGCTTTCGTAGCCACATTCTTCAGATTGATCAACTTATCGATCAGCATCTGTAACCGACTGTCCCGAGGGAACTGCTCGTTGCTGCTGCTGTATGGCACTTCAGGGTTGTACTTCTGAGACGTGGTAGACACGACATCATGCGTGTAGTCACCGTAGTGCGTACCAGTCCAGCAGTCCTCGTCGTTGTTGTGGTATTCCTCATCGTCGCAAAGACTGTAATGAAAATAAAAATGACCTCATGAACAGGGTGTTCCTATCTTTGCAACTCTAATTAAAAGAGACACGTGGTATCAATCAGCTCTAATAGTACCGCTATTTTGAAACTAGATCTAACCTTGAACTGCCTTGCATTCGCATTTCGCGCCACTCATCAACATCGTCATAAATACGTTCAGCTGATCCCGAACGCACAGCCCCGAGATGTCTGATGTCTAATTAAAATTCCCCTTCAATTAATCAATTGCTAATGGTTTGAAAATTGCGCGCAGAATACACAAACGGTTCGCAATCAATGCCATGGCTGCGCACTGCCAGGCGAGTCAGCCGCCAGCACCCACATTGTGTTGTGTTGGTTGGTTGAATGAAATGCACTTCAAACAGAGAGCAGCGCGTTGATGGGTGTCATAATGGCACTAACTAATAACAATCATTATCATGCAAATAGATGATACGGCGAGAGACACTGCACTGCACTGGCTGCAAAAGTGCGGGTGCAGGTCGCCCAATGCATTACCGAACTGCACCCAGCTGGTAACTGATAGGGATCAATCAACGATAAGTGTATGGATCCCCCTTCTAGTTAGTTCGTCAGTTGAGAATTAATGTTTAATGAAAAATAATCATTTGATTAGCTCAACGTAAGCGTGCTCACGGTGTCTCTTTTTTTCCTTGATTTATTTTCCGTCGATCTTGTTTTCCGTGCTGAGCACCAATGCTACCGACGCCAGGGAGGCAGCTCCCACACCTGGACCCTACCTATCGACCCATCAACTCATGAACCGGGGACCAACGACTTTACTTCCCTTCCGATGGAAGGCGTGATTAGAGATGTTGTGTCTCAGAACATCCCGACTGGGATTGACCCCGACCTGCTGGGGTAGAAGGTATTCACGCTCACTACTACACCATCGGCGCCACTGCTCACGGTGTCTCGGACGGACCTAAATTATTAAAAAAAAATCAGTATCACAGAAACTCTCATGAAACGAAATCTTTGGTGCTCCTCTATCAGTTTATTTATTTATTTATTTATTTATTTGAGAGGGAAAAGCCCACTTCAGAAGGACCAAACCTGCCCCTTCTCAAGTGGGCGGAAAACCTCTTCTTTTCGTATCAACAGCTAGTTTCAAAATGGTTTATTGATTCATATCTATACCAAGGTTGCAAATACTCATTTCAGCTAAAATAATGTTTTTCGAAATAATAAAACCAAAAGATGGTATGATGACATTTTTTACTTGTAACTTACAAGAAGAGGTTACAAAGTATGCGTTTGAAACATAGAACCTGTAAATTTTGCATTCTATGAGTCACAATCAGCGATTTACTGATCGCTGAGTGAGTGAGTGAGTGAGTGAGTGAGTGAGTGAGTGTGTGAAAAATCGCTGATTGTGACTCTCATGAAGTGAAATAAACAGGTTTAATATGTCAAACACATTCTTTGCAACCTCTTCTTGTATCTTGTCTATCCAAAATATGATCATAGCATCTACATAATTATTTCATAATAAAAAAAAACATTGTTTTAGCTGAAATGAGTATTTGCAACCTTGCTCTATACTGATTTGGGCTTTAGGGTTAAGTTGATAGAATCCACAAATGGCCGTAATTATGGTTGTCTTATATTGACACTTCAATTTTTTCCAATATATTTCATTCAATTTCATGAAATATCTTAGACCTACTTGACTAAAAATTAACTTTTAAAGATCACATTGAGGACACCCAGGCCAAATGTAACAAGTATTTAAAAAGTTTGTATTCCCTTATAAACCGGAAATCCAAACTCTATCTGAAGAATAAACTTCTAATATTTAAAGAAGTTTTTAGACCTGCCATGCTTTACGCTGTGGCGAAATGATCTAGTTGATGCACTGCTAGGAAAAAAGTACTTCAAAAGATTCAGAACAATCTTTCGAATAAGATTTTCCTCCCTGGTACAGTACTACCAAGGTACATATAATTTCGAATGTTGAGACTTTAGAACAAATGTCCAACATAAGAATGAATCCTCAATTGCAACGATTAATTCTTTTTATGTTTAGATGAAATTTACTTTTAGTTTTTAGATTTAATATGACAATTGTTATACATACCTGTTTAAAATACAGATTTGCCAAACCAGAAACAATGTAAGCACACTTAGATATATACCATAAAAATTAAGACTGGTTTGTTCGTGTAGTAACTAGAGCACCTAGATTAAAATGACTAGTAATTTAACTTGAATTTGGAAGAAATAAAGTGTTAAAAACAGCTTTGAGTGGGTTGGTTTATTTCCTTTAAATTTCGAAATAAACCAACCCACTCAAAGCTCTTCATAAAGGGATTCCGTTAAGAGGTTCGACAAATTTAAAGGATTGTTAAAAACAACAAAATATATTTCATGTACGAATCTATAGCAACACGTATGCTGCCGTGCAGTAAAACTGTTGGTATAATTTCGTACACGAAATCTTTGGTGGCCTTAGAGCGACTGTTTTTGCTTACTGGGCAGATGCTCTAATTCACCCTTCCCACTAATAAAAACGTCCTTCCCGTGACAACTGCGGAGATGCAGAGGTGTTTTCGGTCAATAGTAACAACGAGTGTCGAGCTAACAATTATTTCCCTTATCAAGATTTGATCTTGAAGAACACTTTAAAACCTTGATAAAAAATTTACTTGGTTAAGGACGTGGCAGTTTGGATTTTATGAGGGTTCTGTAGTCCATGATTTAGACTTGAGACAACTGAGAATGGATTCTAATCCCAAGCCCGATTCACATGGATCTTTGTGCGAATTTCGCTGGATCTAGTCAATCACGGAGAAGTAACTATGGAATTTATGGTCGCAAATGCTCATGCTCATGCTAAAAACATTGATATAGGGGATGATGTGATGGGATTTTCTGAGGTGAAAATTTGTTGGAAATTAAAGGAGACCAGTCGGAGAAATTTCAAAAAAGAATACCCGCATGGTTGATTTCACAACAGATGTCAGTAGTAAAAAACCTGAATTTATCCACCTATGGAGAGACCTGACCCTTCTTACTAAGTCATATTTTTAGCAACTTCCCTGGTGGTATGTCCAGGAGTTGGTCACATATTCATAGGTTTTTGTCATTTATGTTATAAATTCAGAACCTTCACGTTTCTTGTGCAAAAACAGCAGTATACCACAGACGTGATAGGGTTCTGTACCGCTGTGAAAATGTTGTGCCGTTACGTTATGTCCACCATAGAGCTACAAACAACTATACAAAACAAGGATGACGGGATGACGGGATTAAGGAAAATTGGGAGAAAAGAACGGCCATTGCAGAAAATCGGGCTCTTTTAATATCAGGCGTCCTCAGGTGTGCTAAGACGCATTTTAATTAGCTAAGTGCAGTGGTTGCTGTTTTGAACGTGAACCAGGACCCCCATAGCAGTAGCTAGTGTGCGCTAGGGAAATTTAACGTTCAGGACCTCTTTTTATGTTGGACCTTAGGTCATTCGTCAGCACACGGCCGGCTCGTGAAATTGGAAACAGTTTCCGAGCCAAATTGTCAAGGGCCAAACACTGTTATCTGGCCAAACGTAGGCCATAATCGTAAAGGAGTTTTCCCTTCTCGGCTTGACCAAGGAGGCCTTGCCACGGTCGGCCGATCGTGCCAACGAAGGACGACGCCTGCCATCCAGAGATGCCAGATCTACGGAAATCTCCGTAGATCTACGGATTTTACAATTTTTTGCGGAAATACGGATCCGTAGGTAAAATCTACGGAATTCGGTACAGTTTCTACGGATTTTTTTCTTCAGTGTACGTTTCCCTTCAGAATCGAATTTTACAATCTGATTCTGAAGGCAAAGAAGCATAAAATAATATAAACCCTACAACTTGTCAACCGTTTTCTTGCTCACTAGAGTTCTCTACCTCCGTTAGTATTAGTGAGAAGTTTCACTAATACATGCATTTTACTGGTTGAAAATAAAAAAAACAATCCGCTGTCAGTCGAACACTTTGACAGCTGATTTCGTTGTTGAAAATAATAAACAAACCGATTTACAGGGCTGCGCTAGCTAGGTTGTATAAGTGAGATGTTGCGTCGAGAAGTCACTTATCCGCTTTTTGAGTAAACAAACGTCAGACTGTGCGTGAAACATGGCGGCCTTCGTACTATCTCTTCACTCCGTCGAAAGTTCTCATAATATACCAGCCCAGTGGCAGGCGCGTAGGCAGCATGTTATACCGTGACAGCGGGCCCAAAACAGCAAAATAAATTATTTGAGCCCGGGACATGCTGCCTACTGTCAAACGCTGCTGTTGATATAGGCCTTGTCACTGGCCTGTAATATACAGTCAATCTTTGCATGAAGAGAAACATTTTCGACGGTGTCGTGTGAAGGCGAATAAAAGTCATGTCGAGACCAGTCTTGTAAGCGGTCACCGTAGTCGACACATTTTCTGTGATAATCGACTGCCTTTGCTTCCGACACTTGCAAAACAAGCTTTCAAATTACAGTACCAAACTAAAATGTCATACGACACTGTCGCCGAAGACCATCACGGATGTAAGTATTTTAGTTTTTCTCATAATAAGAGCTGCTGATGTTTTGCTTGTGCAAGCAACGATGTCATAGTAATAACCTTTTTTGATCAGAAATGGTTTAATTTACACCAAATTGAGGAATTAGAACGAAATCGTATATGTCATAGAATAGTCATTTGATAATTTTCTTTTTGCTCGAATGTTGTTCTACCGTTTGCGTTATGTAAGAGAGACGACGCTCTCTTCCCCGTCAGCTCGATGATGATCAGGCCTTCAACGTGTTCATCAAAAAGCATGTAATCCATAAGTCGTCGTACTTGTCCGGCTTTATAAAGGAAACTACGATTAAAGCGTGGCTTTCTTATTAGAGTACGACAGCACTGTACCACCGCTACGGGATCACAATTGATCAGATCGCCATAGATGGTCTTGAAACCCCCCTGTAGTGGATCCTCAAATTGAGCTGGAAACCATTGCCGTG